TGGATACAAAATCACACAAAAATTCTTTGCATTTCTATGCAGTAACAGTGAACAATCTGAAAGGAAATTACAAAAACTATTCTATTTACAATGGTATCAAAAAGAATAAAATACTTAAGAATAAACTTAACCCAAGAGACAAAAGACTTGCACATAAAATACTGCTGAAAAAAATTTAAGAAGACAAATAAATGCAGACATCCTGTGTTCATGGATTGGAAGACTTCATACTGTTAAAACATCAACCCTAACCAAAGTGATCTACAAATTCAAAGCATTGCCTATCAAAATCCCAATGATGTTCATCCAGAAATACAAAAATCCATCCTAAAATTCCTATAGAATCTCAAAGAAACTGATTAGACAAAACAATCTTGAAAAAGAGCTAAGCTGGAGGTCTCTCACTGTTAATACAGATTTACAGTAATCAAAACAGTGGTATTGGCAGACACATGAATAGAACTGGTAGTCCAGAAACAAACTCTGGCATAAATAATCAAATGTTTTTCAACAAAGACTATTCAGTGTGGAAAGTACAGTCTTTTCAGCAAATGTTTTTGGAAAAACTGGATATCCACACAGAAGAGAATTTATACCCCTACATTACACCATATACAAAAATTAACTCAAAATAGATGAGGAGGCCAGACTCGGTGGCTCAGCCTGTAATCCCAGCACTTTGGGAGGCCGGGGTGAGTGGATTGCCTGAGCCTGCGGGTTCAAGACCGGTCCAGGCGACTTGGCGAGATCTCGTCTCTATAGTAAGTCAAAAACTAGCTGGGCGTGGTAGTGCACACCTGTAGTTCTGGCTACTTGGAAGGCTGAGGCGGAAGGATCACCGGAGCCCAGCACGTAGAGGCTGCGGTGGCCGGGAGCGTGCCACTGCACTCCAGTCTGAGTGACAGAGTGAGACTTCAACTCAAAAAAAAAAAAAAAAAAATAGATGAGGGACCTAAATATAAGACCTGAAATTATAAAAATCTTAGAAGAAAATATAAGGGACAAGCTTCATGATATTGGATTTCTCAATAATTCCCTGGATATGACACCAAAAGCACAGGCAACAAAATAAATAAATTGGACTACATCAAAATTTAAAACTTGTGTTTATCAGGGGATGCAATCAATAGAATGAAAAGGGAAAACTAGCTAGTTGTGGTGGCTCACACCAGTAATCCCAGCACTTTAGGAGGCAGAGGTGAGAGGATTGCTTGAACTTGGAGGTTCAAAACCAGCCTGGGCAATTTGGTGAGACTCCATCTCCACAATAAATCAAAAAATTAGCTGGGCATGGTGGTGTATGCCTGTGTTTCCAGCTCCTTGGAAAACTGAGGTAGAAGGATTGCCTGAGCCCAGGAGGTCAAGGTTGCAGTGGCTGTGAGCATGCCACTGCACTCCAGCCTGGGCAACACAGCAACACAGTGAGACTCCAACTAACAAAAAAAAAAAGGAGAACTATTTGCAAATGATGTATCTGGTAAGAGACTAATATCTAGAAAATATAAAAAAACTCCTATAAGTCAACAAAAACAACAAAAAACAAACCAATTCAAAAATGGGCAAAGGAATTAAGTAGACATTTCTCCAAAGAAGATATACAAATAGTAATAAGCATATGAGTTTAAGGGTGTTTTGAGGAAAGAGCCAAAGGTGCGGCTGGATACCTCTTGCTAAAGAAATTAGATGTAAACTGAAAAGCTTCTGCAAAGCAAAGAAACCATCAAGAGAGTGGGGACACAACCCACAGAATGGGAACAAATATTTGTCAACTGTAAACTGACAAAAGCTTAACATCCAGGATCTTACAAGGAACTCAAGCGTGCAAAAACAAACAGCCCTATTAAAAAGTGGGCAAAAGGCATGATTAGACATTTCTCAAAAGAAGATATATAGGCAGCCAATACACACATGAAAAAGTGCTCAGCCTTGCTAGTCATCAGAGAAATGCAAACAAAAACCACATTGAGATACCACCTAACCCCAATAAAAGTGACCATCATTAATAATACAAGCAACAGATGCTGACAAGGATGCAGAGACAAAGGAATGCTTCTACACTGCTGGTGGGAATGCAAACTAGTGCAAACTCTTTGGAAGACAGTGTGGCGAATTCGAAAAGAACAGACATTGATCTTCCATATGACCCAGAATCCCCCTACTTGGAATATGCCTGGAGGAACTCAAATCATTCTACAAAAAAGATACCTGCACACGCATGTTTACTGCAGCATTATTTACATTAGCAAAAACATGGAACCAACTGTGCTGTCCATCAAAACTGGACTGAATAAAAAGAAGTGGTACATATACACAGTGGAATATTATGCAGTCATAAAGAAGGACAAACATATGGACTTCACAGCAACTTGGATGGATTTAGCATCTATAATACTCAGTGATCTATCACGGAAGCAAAGAATTGAGTACCAAATCTTCTCACTCATAAGCAGACCCTGAACATTTACCATAATAGTATAAGAAAGGGATTGACAGTAGCAGGATACTGCCAGGGTGGTGGTGGGGAGGGGGGACACAACATCAATAAGGGTACCTGATCTGAAACCAGGCAAAGTGGGGACCAAAGGGTGGCCCAAACTTTACTTGTACGATGAACCCTTGTATACCTAATCCTGAATTGTACCTCACATCTTTAAAATAAAATAAATTTAAAAAATAAAGACATTAGATATGTGATTAATAGACCAATCAACTCTCTTAGCAGAATCTTGGAATAAAGGTGGAGCCATCCAGAAATGATCTGTGGAGAATTCTCTTGTCTGATGGCATGGATCCCTTTGACATACACAGGAGACTCACAAGGTTTTTGAGAAGAATGTTATGCCACCAAAAACATTGAAGCTTGGCCTGATAGTAAAGGAGGCTTAAAAAAAATGAATGAAAGCTGTCAGACATCTGGAATTCTATGAACAGTGAAAGGGATGACTACTTCTACCCCCTAAAGCTATTGAAATAATAGGAAACAAAAAGGATGACAGTTTCTTAATTGCTAACATCTGTCATCATTCAAGAAAAAAAAAAAGAATGACTCAGAGGACATAGTCACACATACAAAGGAAGAGACCAATGAAGGCAGTGCCACTTCTGTGGGCTCAGAGAACAAAGCATCAGGCCACAGAGGATAATTATTAGGCCTTGAAACCCTGCTAGGTTTCAAACTTGGTTGGGTCAAGTGACCCCTTTAATCCTTCCACATTCTCCCTTTCAGAATAGGAATGTGTATTGCATGCTGATCCCATCTATGACAGTTGGAAGCAGATAACATGTTTTCTGGTTTTACAGGTCCACAAACAGGAATTTTGCCCTCACATGGATCATAATCCAGTGTCTCACCCATGTAGGATTTATATTATGAAATTTGGGACTTTTTTGAGTTGGTAATATTTAGATGGGATATTTGACTTAGAGTTGATGCTGGAATGTGTTAACTTTTAGAAATAGTGAGAGGGGGTGAATGTATTTTTCACATGGGATGGGTGGCAATTTTCAGGGACCAGAGGCACAATGCAGTGGGTAGATGAGTTGCCTCCTAAAAGAAATGTCCACCTGGAACATCAAAATTTAACTTTATTCAGAATCAAGGTCTTTTGCAGATATTAATGTAGGGATCTTGAGAGAAAATCATCCTAGATTAGGGTGGACTCTAAATCCAATGAGTAAGTCTGAAAGGGAGATAAAAGATGACAATGTGAAAAATGGAAGCAGAGAGGCCAGTTATCCTGCCACAACTAAAAGACATACCAGCAGCAACCAGAAGCTGGAAGAGACAATAAATGATTCTCTGCTAGAACCTTGGAGCATGGGCCTGCTGGCAACTTGATTTTGGATTTCTGACCTCCATTGTGAGAAAATAAATTTCTCCAGTCTTCAACTATCCAGTTTGTGGTACTTTATTATGGCAGTTCTAGGAAACTAATACATCAGTATAGAGACATATGACTGCATTCATAAGCACATGTGTGCACACATGTGCATGACATATTTTTTGGAAAATACAATCTTTATTTTCCAAGTTAGCATCATATCTCAATATTTGCAGTTATATGTTTATAGTTAATGTGGTTAAATAAATTTTCATAAATTTTGAGAGGCGTTACTGTTGCTTTTTGAAACAATTCCAGTTGATAGCAGTTTCTCTTCTGTCTATTGATTTCTTTATATATCAAGGATATTAACCTTATGTCAGTCATACATGCAGGTAAGTATTTCTTTCCAGGTTTTCTTCATTCTTTAATGCCGTTTCCCCCTCCCCCCCAAAATTGTTGCTTTTTTGTTTGTTTGTCTGTTTGTTTGAATTTTATTTTCAACCTGCTGGGCTCCAGCGATCCTTCTGCCTCAGCCTTCCAAGTAGCAGGAACTACAGGTGCATGCTACCACACCCGTCTAATTTTTTGATTTATTGTAGAGACAAGGTCCCATCTTGTAGCCCAGGCTGGTCTTGAACCTGTGGGCTCAGGCAATTCTCTCGCCAAAGTGCTGGGATTACAGTCATTGTTTTTAAATTTGATTAGATTAGTATGGTTTAAAAAGTAATAATGTTATCTGCATAAAACTATTTGACTAATACACTAGGGACATCAGTCCCCAAACTTACCAGGGTTAGAGAACACTCCCCATCTCAGACGCCAAATGGCCCTCTGAGGCATAGACCTAGCCTACAGGTGAGTCCAGGATTTGAGACTATACTCAGATTTTCTAGGAGTTACTCACTCTCTCTGTGTATCCCTTTGCTTTACTGTAGAATAGAGATAGTAATGCCGGACTCAAATGGTTTTTGTAAGAATTTGGCATAATAGGCAACATTACTCTATTATGAAAAGAAATGAGTAAGTTTCAAAGGGAGATAAAAGATGATGGGGGGGAATGAAAAAAACAGGGATCCTGGGGGAGGGGGCTAAAATACACAGAATAACTCGCCCTTTGGGTTGATGAGAGTCAGCCCTACAAGGTAGGCTTTGGCTTCCCACTCCCAACTAGACATCTCAGGTAACAGGGAAATACTCATACTGGAACAAAAATACAGCAAAGTTGATAAGGATGAAGATGATGACAACAAAGGGTTTCCTCTCAGAGCTTTCTTCTCACGATCCTGAAGTTAAACTATATGAAGACCTTCTCTGGGATCTTGCCCTTGGCCTGGAGGAAATAGAGGAGCCACTTGGGATATCAGCAGAATCAGGAGCCGAGTTCCATCCCCAGGCCACTCAGCCTCTGCTCACTTGGCCTGAATTCCCAGACCTTACCTTGGGCAGAGCAAGAATCTGAGCAGCTCTGGTGTAGTCCCACTGGTTGTCATGAAGATACCTGGGAGTGAATAAAAGACAAGTGACATCCATTAGGACCCAAGTAAATAACTCTGACAGCACAATGTCATTTCCTAATCTATGTAACAGAAACGTGTTTCCATGTTTACTGAGATGTATTGCAGCATAATGAACCCCGTGGCACAGTGTGTCATGGAAAAAAACATTCCTGAAAAGTCAAATGCCTCCTAATAAAGGAACTGAGTCCATGGGATACACAGAAGTACTGTACACTGTTCAAAATAACTAGGTAGCTGGTGATGTACTGAGAGGGAAATGTTCAGTGTGATGATGAATGAAATGAAGAAACAATTACCTGCAAATTCCCATTATTCACTCCCTTGCTTTTCCCAGCTTTTACAGATCAATGTACACACCCAGCACTCACTTCTGAGACCACTCGAAGTTCATCCCAGATTGGGCAGAGAACGCCTGTACCATTGCCTGCTGCTCCCGGGAAAGGACAGGCACAGAGCTACAGGAGGGTGTGTACATTGGGATAGAAAAGGTGCTCTGGGTCCCTTGGGGGCTGGTGTTCCACACAAACATCTTGTCATTCATAATACATAGACTGGAAGAAAAAAATGAACCCTCAGATAGTTGGACAGAGGGACAAACCCTCACCCCCAACAAGGACCCTTTTCCTACTGCTCAACAACCAGATTCCTTCCATACTCCTACCATGCCTGCCTCCCTGCTTCTTTGGCTGGTACTCTTTCTTTGGAGATTGTCTACAGCTTCACTATATGTGTAGGTTTAAGTTGGTTTTATATTCACATTTACCCTTTACAACAGCCCAAGGGAATGGACAGTATAATCATCAGTCAGAAAAAGACCCTGAATTACAAGGAGGTAATATGACTTGATCAAAGTCACAGAATAAATATTGCATCAGGAAAGAACCTGTATTCTGACTTCAGAGGCCACACTCTTAACTACTAGACTAGACTGTTGCTTTTTGACAATATTGAGAACACCCCTGGAATTGCATCACCATATTCCCACAACACTGGTCCCAGGCTGGCATGGGTGTTCCCATATTGCACCCACAACACAGCACTTACCTGGCATTGCTTGTAAGGATAGTGATGAAGGTCCGGGTGAAGGCACGGTAACATCCTGGAGACTTTCCTTCTACTCCAAAAACAACAATTCCCTCTTAGAGTTGCACATACTTTATATGCTCACATGGTGTTCCTCAGTGAGAGTCTTACTTGATACTCATGCTCAAGAAAGCCAGACCAGGATAATTGTTCACTTGGGATCAGGCGGGTGTGGTGGGAATGAGGAGGGCAACAATAGGAACAATCCACTGTGGTAGGGCCCCTATCCTGTGTAGGGCCCTTTGAAAACCACAAGTTTACTTGATTACTGTTTCACAGTAGACCCAGAAATGGGAATTATTAGCCCCATTTTGTAAATGAAGAAACTGAAATGTTAAGTAACTGGCCCAAGTTCATGAAGTCAGGACCTGAGATGAGAGCTGTCAAACTCCCCAGCCTGTATCCTTAAGGCATGCACACCAGAGCTGTGCGGGGCAGACAAGCATGGGTATGGACCTAGGTCAGGTAAGGGTGGTTTGTGGGTAGAGTGGGGGTGGAAATACACAGTGGAAGATCTGGGAAGGGGACTCTACAGACACTCACCTTCCTTGAACATGCCACTGACAGAAAAGAAGAGCATCGTTTCCTGAAAGGGAAAAGCTCAGGTGCTCAGGACCCTCCTTAGCCTCCTAACTCTTCCGACTTTCTGGTTATACCCAAGGGAGGAAGCAGGTGCTCACCGTCTGGAACCACAAGTCCACCAGGAAGGAGTGGGGATCATGCCGAGTTTTGGGCAACAAATGGAGGGTGTCCACAATGTCACGTTTTGTGTGCTTCAGTAGCTGCCCCCACAGATCTGCAGAAGGGAAGAGAAGCAAGCAAGGTCATGGGCTGCCACATTCTGGCCTTGGCCACTGTGATCTGTGATTGCCCCCTTCACAGCTCCTTCCCCTGCCCAGTCTTCCTCATCACACACTTACAGGAATCCTTGAGCATTTTGATATTCCTGCTAATTTTGAAGTACTCACACAAGTTGTTCCTAGGAAAAAAGAGGAACTAGAAGTGGTTGTCCAGCCAGTGTGGCCATTTCTGGGAACTGGCCTATGTCTGCTGCAGAGCTACATGGTCCCAGACAAGAGCCTGAGCTCTGATACTCACAGGGCTGGGTCCTCAGGATTTAAGGAAGTGGTCAGAGAGAAGCAGGCCTTGTCATGGTAAGCACCAAGGAGACCCTGTCTATCTCCACAGTCATAGATCAAGTAATACCTGCGAGGAAGAAAAGAGGACAGGCCATCTTTGTGGACTGGGCCCCAAATAAGGCTCAAAAGTCTAACTGAGCAGAACTGTGCTTGGATAGCCTCACCCGTCCCAGCCCTATCCTTCCCCAGATTCCCAGAGATACTTACTGCTGCAGGAATTGCAGGACGAGATTCTTCAGCATCTCAGATGCAAAGAAGCTTCCCTGGAATAAAGAGTCCCCAGGACCACAGCTGGTACCCCCTCCTCACGCACCACCTAACACCCTAATGGCTCCTCCCTCCTCACCTTACAGTTTGGTAATCTCTTATGGGTCTCAATGCCACACAAAGTTGGTCTGGGTGACTCCTGACCATCCTGGGGAAGGCAAGAGGAAGTCAGCATTACAAAGCAGGGAGATGTCACTGGATGATTAGGGAAAAGGATGGGCTCAGAAGAGGATGAAGTCAGAGATCAGGTGTGAAAGGGTCCTGGAAATTACATGGGCAAGACTACAGTCAGGGTGGTCACCAGGGGTTCCTGAAGCCTAGAGAGAATTTGAATGCAGCAAATCCATAGTCTTTGTCAGGTTCCCATGTGGGTCTGTATCACCTGTCCCCACTCCCCTATTTAAGAATCATATCCAGGTTGGGCATGGTGGCTCATGCCTATAATCCCAGCACTTTGGGAGGATGAGGTGAGAGGATTGCCTGAGCCCACAGGTTTGAGACCAGCCTGGGTAACTTGGCGAGACCTCATGTCTACAATAAATTTTTTAAAAAATTAGCCAGGCATGGTGGCGTACTCCTGTAGCTCCAGCTACTTGGAAGGCTAAGGTGGAAGGATCGCCTGAGCCCAGCAGGTCGAGGCTGTGGTGGCCATGAGTGTGCCACTGCACTCCAGCCTGGGCGACAGAGTGAAATTACAGTTCAAAAAGAAAAAGAAAAAAGAGTCATATCAAAAAATGTAACTTGGACAGTACTGAAAGAGGGTCTGGAGCAGTTGGGGGCAGCATCAGTGTCAGTTAGAAAAGTCAGTGGTCAAGGAATACACTTACCAGACGTAATAACTTGGGGAACAATTCTAGGATGGAGCTGACAAATATCAAAACAAAATAGACAAAAGTAAGTGAAACTGTGGAGTTGCCCTCCTTCTGGGAGCATCACACCTACATCAGGACACAGTGTGTCTCATTGACACTGGAGTCTCTACCCCTCCAGCCCTGGGCAGCTCCCCTGTGAAGTAACCCAGAAGGAGATATCTCTCTCTCTCTCTCTCTCTCTCTCTCTCTCATCACTCTGTCTCTCTCTGTCTCTGTCTGTGTTTGTGTGTCCCTATTTCTCTCCCCTTCCCTCTCTGTCTAATCCCTGTTTCCCTATTGGGTAACGTCTGCCTATACTGCCCCAACTCCGTTCTCCAATGTCATGAGAAGCAGCATTTGGAGCCCAGGCCTTGGGGCTTCCTTCCCCTCCCTGCCTCCCTTACCTTTATCCAAGAACCCATGGAAGGCTTCAGAGGGAGCAAGGAATGGGGCAGGAGATCAGAGCTCTGCTGTCTCATTGGGTGTCCACCATTCTGCTGAGTCTGGCCCCCACCAAGACCAGGTAATCCCCCAGGGATGAGCCAGGATTCTGGGGCAAGAATGTGAGCAAGGTTGGACTCAGGAGGAGAGGGAAGGGAAGGCAGGGGAACCACAAAAGAAAGGGAGTGAAGGTGGAGGGGAAAGATGGAAGGAGATGGGGAGAGGAGAGATAAAGGAGAATGAGGAAGGAAGAGATGCTCTACCATGGGGATGGGGGGCAGGGAGGAAGAGAGAAGAAAAGGACTCTCCTGCTGCAGCCCTTTTCCTCATCTGGCCCTGGTTGGCCCTGGGGTACATGGCAGGAATGGAAAATATGCACAGGTGGATCCTTTGTCACCTGAGTGAGTCCAGTCTGATCTGGGCATGAAAATGGAGCAGCCAAGGGGAAAGGAGACATTCCCTCAGAAGGAGGGATGGGTCAGGCCCCAGCACGGGTTTGAATATCTGAACCCTCCTCTTATAACCACCACATTCTCTCCTGATGGTCCCTGCACACTTGTGCCCATCTGAGCTGGCACCAGTCCAAGGAATCTGACCCATCTCTGGCTACCCAGGGCTCCTCTGAAGACCAGGCAAGATGATGGGAGGTGCAGAGAGAGGAAGAGGGAGGGCCCTGAGAAGCCCAACCTTTTGTCTCCTCAACCTATTCTGCCTTCTGCCTTTCTCTCCTGCTTCAGGAAGCCCTCTGCTCACTTGAGGGGGTCCACTTCTGGCCCCTTGACTCAGGGAACCTGGGTTTTGCCCAAGAAGGCCCTGGTTCTTGGCATTGGGCCAGAGAAACTGATGGCATAATGGCAACCATCCAGGGCCTCGGCCCTTAGGATGGGGCAAGAAAGCCACCATGTCAGCCCAAGATAGATGGAGAGACCTTTGTGGGGCAAATGAAGGAGGGGATGGAAGTCTCATCTCAAGACAGAGGCAGAAAGGCCTGTCTCAGCATGAGGTCCTGGGCCAGAGGGTTCTGCTCAGTCCAGGGCACTAGCATTTGTCCCCAGTCTATACACCCCTAGTTCTGATGAGAAAGGGGAAGCCCTGCTTCCTGGAGTACTTGCATGGAGGGCATGCTGGAGGAGGCTGGGTGCACAGGGGCAGAAAACACACCTGAAGGCAAGTGAAAAGGGGAATAGGTCAGAGGAAGTAAAGGAGACCTCTAAGCACAGCTGAGGGACACTGAGAGATGAGAGGGTGGAGCTGCCTCCTCCTGCATAAGGGCACTGTTGAGGGTAGCTGAGGCTCCCAGGAGATGACAAAGCGTACAACTGACTTTATGTTGCTGGACTTATCCGGGATGGTGGTGCAGAGTGTGTTTCTGTCCGCATGCATCTCCCCTGGCTCCAGCCCTTTCCCCTTGTCCATCTCTGAAGACTCCACCTGTAATTATGTAGAAGAACCACATGGGCCCAGGAAACAGGCAGTCTCCTTCCTTGCCAACAAATCCACTTCACTGCCTCCTCTCACTATCCTCATGAGCCTTCCCATGTTTCCTTCAAAGAACCATCTGATTATTACAGTTCACCTCATTTTTGGAGAGATTAATGTTGCTCATGTTGGGAGCCTTTGGCATAGTGCCAGGTATCTGGTAGGGTTTGTTGTTGCTCAGATTAAAGGGAAGATGCTATGACGAGAAATTAGTTAAGAGTTAGGGTCCCAACAGAGGATGTCATAGACCAACTGGCCTTCTAGTTAATTTTTTCCACCCTCACCCTCAATCCAAGCACCAGCCTAAAGCCTCACCTTGGGCATGTTCTCTTCATGGATGTGCAGGGAGGCAGCCATGATCTTTCTAGGATTTGATGGCATTTCATCATCACAGCCCATCAAGTCTCCAGGAAGTAAAGAAGGGAATCAAAAGACTGAAGGGGTCCGGCTAGTACATCTCCAGTGCCAACCCCTCCCCAAGTTGCCATCCCTGAGCCTCCCTCCCAGGCAGACCCCTCTGTCCTCACCTGCCCTAGTATTATTGTTTTTAGCCATACCTGAGTCAACAGGGAGCCTCTGGATGTTAAGAGATTGCTGGGAGGCACTACATTGTTTGTTCATGGTCAGCTGCAGAGGTAGAGATCGGGTTCAGTGGTTCTGAACCTGAGGTGGTGAAGGGAGAAGTAGGTGGGGAACAAGAGGTGGGTCCGGCTGTGGGCAAATAACTTGTCATGAGTCTGCATTACCTTTGTCTGCTCCACCTTTTCTGACTTCAGCTCGCTCAGCACAGAGCAGGATACATTAGAGGGGTTAACAAAGATTGTTATCTGCAAGAAACCCAAGAGAAGATGGGTAAGCACTAGGAGCTCTGAGCCTCAAGATCAAACAGGACCACACCCCTGCTCTGCCCTCTTGTCCTTAGCTAGTCCTGATCACGTCCTTAACACACACCTTTTCATTATCCTCATCCCAAATATTGCCACTGATACTCTTCAATGCAAAGGCGGTACTGGCATTCTCCACGAAGAAGTGAGCCTGCATTTTCTCATAGTGAAACTATAGGGAGAGTGGCAAGAGAAACAAAATATGAGGCCAGAGTCTCTGCTTATTCATCCCTTCCCCTGTTTTGTTTTCGCTCATCTGCCTCACCATCCTCTCTTACTTCAACTGGGATGAAGGGGACACTGCATTGGCTCCGAAGCAAATTCAGCAGCCACTTCTCATTATATTTTATACCAAATGGAATCTAGGAGTGAAAGAAAGAATAGGTGAGGGGAAGAAACTGATAAAAAGGAATTCAAGGTTGAAATTAGGGCCAGGCACAGTGGTTCACTTCTGTAATCCCAGCACTTTGGGAGGCTGAGGCTAAAGGATCGCTTGAGCCCAGAAGTTTCAGACTTACCTGGACAACATAGCAAGATCTCATCTTTAAGAAGAAGTAAAAAAATTTAGCCAGATTAGTGGTGCACGCCTGTATTCCCAGCTACTCGGGAAGCTGAGGCAGAAGGAACACCTGAGTCCAGAGGTCAAGGCTGCAGTGAGCCATGATCATGCCACTGCATTCCAGTCTGGGCAATAAATAAATACATAAATAAATAAATAAACAGGCCAGGTGCAGTGCCTCACACTTGCAATCCTAGCACTTTGGGAGGCTAAGGCAAGAGGATTGCCTGAGCCCAGAGTTTCGAGACCAGCCTGGGCAACTTGGCAAGACTTTCTCTCTACAATAAATCAAGAAAAATTAGTTTGGCATGGTGGTGCACGCCTGCAGGTCCAGCTACTTGGAAGGCTGAGGCGGAAGGATCGCCTGAGCCCACCAGGTCAACGCTGCAGTGGCCATGAGCGTGCCATTGCACTCCAGCTTGGGTGACAGAGTGAGACTTGACTCAAAACAAAAAAGGTGTTAAAATTAGACTCAAACATGTTTCTTTTAGACCTTTCTCTAGACTTTAACATATTTTTAAAATATAGTACATTCATTATTTCTAATTTATTTACTCCACTATTATTCCATTATTCCATCCATTATTTCTAGATATGTATGATTTCTAACCACACATGGATTTCCTAAATGCCCTTTCTTTCCATTCAAATAGTGTTCTTCAAATAATCAATTTAAGATATTTAATACATGCTTTCTTTTATATATAAAAAAAGCACCCCATGAGATTCTACTGAAGGCAGACCCAGCCTTGCCCCTATGACAAGGACCCCCTACACATATAGTTTGAGCCAAAATGAGTCAACTGGTATGGAGTTGCTCTATCTCCTTAGCATTAGTTTCCTCCTTTGCTTGTATAGAAGTTCTGCCATTCTTTCTGTAGTCAGTCTGTCCTTTTATATTGCTTCTCTCGCTTTGCCCTCAGATGATCTAGGATGTTAACTCCTAGTAATAAAAAAGATGGATCACCAACTCCTCTGCCCTCAGAAAAGCACCTAATGTCTCGATACAAGTCCAACACAACTCTCTTTGTTTTCCTTCTGAATATTAGATACATTTTGCCTGGACACTCACTGTGATCTTGAACCGGCTCCTTGAGGTCCCGTCCTGTCTGTTTCCCTCTATTCTTCTCTCTGGAGCTTTTTGCTCTCTCTGTGTGTTAACAAGGGTTTGGTCTTGTTTATGAACATTGCTTCTCTGATAATAGCGTGGAATGGCATAGGGAGTGCTGTGGGAAAGTGGAGAAAAAGAAAGTAGTACATAGGCTGGGCATGGTGACTTATGCCTATAATCCCAGCATTTTGGGAGGCCAAGGTGAGAGGATTGTCTGAGCCCATGGGTTCGAGACTAGCTTGGGCAACTTGGCGAGCCCTCATCTCTATAATAAATTAAAAAATTGGCCAGGTGTGATGGCACATGCCTGCAGTTCCAGCTACTTGGAAGACTGAGGTAGAAGGATCACCTGAGCCCAGCAGGTCAAGGCTGTGGTGGCCGTGAGCATTCCACTGTACTCCAGCCTGGGCAACAGAATGAGACTCCAACGAAAGAAAGGAAGGAAGGAAGGAAGGAAGGAAGGAAGGAAGGAAGGAAGGAAGGAAGGAAGGAAGGAAGGAAGGAAAGAAATCCATATATGCTCATTCTTCTATATATACTCGCCCCACTGATACTCAGGCTACAATAAATTTGCTCAACAATTAATCTGGTTCTATCATTTCTCTCTCTGCCAGGTTGGATAATGCTTTAACTACAGCATTATGTATTTCACTGGCTAGTACATTCCAGCCATACTGACTGACCACTTACTATCTTACTGGAGAGTCCGCGTAGGCACCACTCATTGCTGGATCTCCATCTTGCTGCAGATAGGATGAAAGATACATGCCAGGATGCACAGGTTCAGACCAATTGCTAAATCTCCTTCGGTAAATACCCCAATATCTTGCTCTTCTTTTAGCAGGGTTAGCTTGGTTATTGTGACCTTAAATTGAGAACTAAAATTAATTTTTGGAATACCAGAAAAAAGTACTGAGAAAATATAATGGCTAATAAAGAAATGTAACTGATTTTTATAATCTAGAAAAAATATATTACAGTGCCAAAAAGGTTGAAAGATTTCACTGTAGTTTCACTTCCTGGGAGATGAGAGGTGGGGCACATTCTCAATCAAGAAGAAAATAAGCACAGTGAGAAGGGTTTGGGTTGAGTGTCTAATCTATGATGTTAGTACCTGCTCTGCTCTTTTCAGGCTGAATGACCTGGGACAAGTTGCACATCATCTCTAACCTTCAACTCTCACCTCTACTTGGAGGATAACAAAATCTACCCTGAAAGTATGTTGCTGTGGTTCAAGGGTCAAAGGTGAGTTCCCTGCCTTAAGGAAGAATCAGAGAAATGAAAACATGGCTGAAGAAAACACCCAGAACAAATCTTGGAAAGACATAATTATGGAGAATACCACGAGACTTGGAGAGAGAATTAAAGGAGATATGATAAGCATATCTAACACAGGTTTAATTTGGGCCCAGAAACAAGGAGAAGGAACAGTAACAAAGCTGCATTTGAGGATATCTTGGTTGAGAAGATTCCAAAAGTAACAAGACATCAAGTTAGTATAACAATATCAGCTGGGGGACAGTGGCTCACGCTTGTAATCTTAGCACTTTGGGAGAACAAGGCGGGAGGATTACTTGTGCCCAGTTACTTAGGAGGACGAAGTGGAAGGATGACCTGAGCCTAGCATGTAAAGCCTACAGTGAGCTGTGATTGTGCCACTGCACTCCAGCTTGGGATGACAGAGTGAGACCCCCAACTCAAAAAATAATAATATTATCTGTGTGTGGTATATATTAGTAGGAGAAAATGCATTATATTTCATAATGATGCTAATATAACAAAAACTGGGCAAAAATGTGACCAGAATACTTATACTATACTTATCTATACTTTCTCTTTCTTTTAGATTAGAAAATATAGTTTATTTTAAAAGTAAATTAAAGAGAGAAAGAGAAGATTCACAACCCCAAGGTAGGGAAGGGGGTCAAAGCCAGGAAACATGGTAATGGCCATAGCTCAAAAAGAACATGTCTACACCACAGACTAGTAAGGCAATGGCTTATCTATACTTTCATTAAAAGTAATCAGACTAAATATTCCAAACTGAAAGAGAGTATCAGACTAGATAAAAGATTCCATCAAAATCTCCTTAAGAGAAACACATAAAATTTGATGTTATAGAATATTTGAAAATAAAAAAGGCAAGATATATACTATTTACACCCTTACTGACTGAAAGCTTATATAACCATATTAGTAAGAGAAAAAATATATTTTATAAAAAAGTACTAGAGAAAATATTTCATAATGATAAAAGGTTCAAATCAACAAGAAGATGTTAAGGAAACAATTCTAAACGTGTATGCATATCTTAACAGTTTAGAGTCAACATATACAAAGCAAAAATGGATCTAAGTAAATGGAGAAATGGACAAATCCACAGTCACCGTGGGAAATTTGGCACATCTCACTGAGTAACAAATTAAACTAGCAGACAAAATTTTAACTACATAGAGAAAATTTAACTGGCATGAGTAACAAATTTGCTTAAATGACATAGAATACAGCACAAAAAAACTATACATGAAACATTCCAGAGTAAGTAATATGCTGGGCCATAAAGAAAAACTTGAGAAACATTCAGGTGGTGATGGGCTGGGGTTGGCAATACACTCTACCCTGAATGGTTGGTGTAAAGATTCAAGATGTGTACCTTATCCTTCTACCACCTTTAGTAAGAATCTAAGGTGTGTTAATTTCCACAAACCTCTGCCCCAGGTGACCCTCTCCATACCTTAAACCCTGGACCTGAGAAGCTCACATAACTCAGGCTTTTTTCCTTGCCATTGCCCACCTCCATCTAAAGGGAGATCATCTGGGTGTCCTGTGAGTTGGAGTGGAGGTTGGGGAGGGGGCCCAGAATCTCTCTGGCCCTATGGGTACCTGTGAGCCCAGCCTCATGCTGTCCAACTCACCCATGGTGTGTCCCAAAGGCAGTGGCCTTTCACTGATGTCCTCACAAGGGCTCTCTTGAGAAGAATCTGTGTGGTATGGAGCTGGGACTTTGAAGAAGATTGAAGAGTACCGCTGAGGAAGGCGAGAGCAGGTGCCACACCACTTTGTCAGGACCACGTGAACAAGATAGAATCCTTACAGGAAGTTCCATCCCCAAGGACATAGAGAGGAGAACCCTGGAGGCCAGAGAAGATCAAACTTCCTGTTCTCACTGTCCCATAAATTTGCTACCAGTCTAACACCCTGGGAGCCAGCCCTACAGAGGTGGTTAGCTACAGTATCCAAGCCTGGGACTCGGTAGTGTTGCAAACACAGAGGACTCTGTTTGCCAGGCTCTGTTGGCTGATTACATTGTATTCATTCACTCTGCAAACTCAGAGAACTCTGAGTGCCTGTGGTAGATCAGGCTCTGTACTTGTTACATTACCTTTTTTTTTTCATGTGTTCCTCACAAGTGACGCTGAACTCATAATCACCAGCTTCCTAGTGTTGCAGAGGCTTAATGAGGTGCAGGAGCTTCTCTAGGGTCATTCAGATGTTACCTGGAGAAACAGTAGCCCTCCCAGCACAGCTTTACTAAAGTCTTATATTTGGAGTTTTCTTAAAATAGACAAAGTGACAAAATGTTCTGAAAATATTAATGTGGCTGGAATTAACTGCAGCACATCCCAGAGACAGAATTGAAAAAAACAGACCAGACAATGTAAAGTTTAGTGGGCCACTATAATGAAAGTAGACAAAAATCATGTATTTTCTTAACACAATAAAAACAAAAAGTAGTCAATGGGGCCAGGCACAGTGGCTCACGCCAATAATCCCAGCACTTTGCACTTTACTTTGGGAGGTTTGAGACCAGCCCAGGCAACTTGGTGAACCCTCATCTCTACAATAAATCAATAAACTAGCTGAAAGGTCACCTGAGCCCAACAGGTGGAGGCTTCCAGTGGCCATGAACATGCCACTGCACTCCAGCCTGGATGACTGAGTGAAACTCCCACTGAAGCGAAAAAGGATAGTAAACAGACACCTAATGGTTGGAACCAGAAATGTACCTCCTGAAAACTATGCTTGGAAAGATGTCTATGTTATCACAAAACCATGAGAAGATTGAGGAACAAAAACATCAAGCTTAAAGTTAAGCAAGACACTTACAAACTAGTAAAAAAGAAGCAAAAGTAAAACATGTTATACCACGATGAACAAGAAGGCTGTCTGTGGAAACAAAGCAGTGGCCTGAGGTTCTCCCCAGTGGAATTTGACCCTCTCTTCAGTTAGGGTGAGTTTTAGGATCCATCATGCATTTGGATTCCTGCCATGCAAATGTGGTAGCTCTGATTGGTTGATGTTTGCTTTTGATTGCAAGCCACTTATGGGCCAGCCGGAGGCCTTTACAATTCTTGTAATCTAATTTTGAGATTTCCTTCCTCAAAATAGTTTACCCAATTTACCCAATTGATGTTGACCTGATTGGGCATCACGTTCCTCTACATTCCCCCCTGACAGGGCAGCAATGCCAAATCTTTGGCATGGGGTGACGATCTCATCTTATGTAGCTGCTTCATGCTGAAGAGGAGCGTCGCACTGGTCCTACCTATGATTGTTGGTCTGTCTGAGGACACTGTGGGTTATCCTTTTGGATTGTGGAATTTAGGATATGAGGAAGGGACTTATCAGAAGAGGAAGTCTCATATGGCGAAACGCATCCAGCTGAATCCAAGGGAGATTGCACAGGTAGCCAGCACCACTGGGGAGAAGCTGATACCTTGTTTGCAGTGCCATTTGAAGGTGAAATTGCTGAATTCTAAGAAGAAACAAATATGACAAGTAAATTAAACATGCAAGGACCCAAAAGAAGGAGCAATAAAATACCTGCTAGTGGCCCCAGGAGTGGGAGTAACCAGGAGTACCATCCCTGAGTAGATGACCAGAAGGACCGTCCTTGCAATTGAGAGGATGCGATAAGTATGGGCTGCAACACTTGTACCCATTCCAGTGGTAATTCCTAGTTCAATGCTAGTTTTGCTGTTAGAACTGTGAAGCAGAATTGGGAGGGGTTGATTACTGGATTAAAAAATGTGGTACATATACACGATGGAATACTACGCAGCCATAAAAAAGAACAAAATCATAAATTTCGCAGCAACCTGGATGGAACTAGAGTCTATAATACTGAGTGACCTCTCACAGAAACAAAGATCCGAGTATCACATGCTCTCACTCATATAATGGACCTTGGACATTCAATGTAATACTGTAAGAAAATGACTGACAGTACTGGGAAACTATGGGGGGGAGGGGGATGGGATTAACGGTAGCAAATATCTGTCTGGGGACGGGGAAACACCTCTTATCAACAGGGTGCCTGAATGAAACGTATTGGTATACCTAACCCTTAACTGTACCCCACAACATCATAATAAAAAATATTGATTAAAAAAAAAAAAAGAAGGTGCAATCTGGATGTTGGGGCTATGTAAACTAATGTATAAGTTCCAGTTCAATTGACTGAAAGACAGATGTATGCATTTGATCCACATAGGAAGAAAGTTCCCTCAGATTTTAGGTAGGAGGTTAAAGTTAAGGTAAAAAGTCAATATGTTACCTGAAATGTTGACCCAAGGAAGAAGCATTGGACAGTCAATGTGGTGGTTGTAGGGGGCTGTAAAGCTGGGATGTTAAAGTTTGCTTCTGGGTGTATTGCTTTCCCAGATTAGATAGAAGTGATGAGAGTTTAGAATTATCCAATATTTTGGGTTGCTGAGTGTGGGAATTTGTAGGCAGTTTTGAGAGGTCCCCAAAAGGGAAAGAATCAGGAAAGTTAGAACCATTTCCTTGTTTTACTTTATAGAGGACACCATATATGTTGCAAAGCAGAGGAAAATAAGTATGAGTAAAAAGAAAAAAAACATAGTAAATATTAAGATAATGACTTTAAAAAGGCAATACAAATGCTTTGAGAAAATCTGAAGAAAAATCTTAAAATGCTAGTTTGAAGACATATTAGTTAGTGAAGACTTTAGGAAGCAGTTTAAATTTTAGAAAATAATAATGAACAAGAGAATTTAAAACAGGTGTACTATAGTTTTTTGAAACATAATTATTTTTCTCCAGTTCTCCATTTTTATTAATGATAAATTATAGTAGGACCAATTTATTCATGAAATAAGTTTTAGACTTATTTTCACAAAGTGTATCAAGAAGAATAATTTGCTATATAGGCTTTTTGTGAATCGGTTTTGTTGGGACTCCTTCCATAAGGAATTTCAGATTAGATCTTCCCGGAGAATTTGACTTCAGCAAGGACTTGTTATAAAGGCCTGCATGTACTGTGAAGTTCTCTTTTTTTGAGGTTCCAAGTATGTTGGGGTTCCTGGACTCATTAGCAAGTAAATTTCTTTATTTACCATCATTTAGAAACCCCACAGTGTTGAAGAGGTAGTAGGTATTGGCTCTTTGTAGATTTTAATCTTGATTCCTCCAGGCAGTTTATTTTGAAACATTATTCCAACCAAAGCCTTGGTAAAATAACCAGTATTTCCAATCACCTTTTTTTAACAAAAGAAAATAGATTATTATTGAACTTATGCAAATAACCATATTGCTATAAATTAATAACTTTCAAATTCTAGAGAAACTAGAGAAAGATGTGTTTCAAATTTAGCTTACAAGAGCGTACTTTACTTATTTCTGAAAGACTGTAAATAGCTCCAAGAAAAAGATTTTTTCTTTTGACTCTGAAAATTGTAACAAAAATAATTAGCAATACTTTAAACAAAAAAAGCTTACAAAATTATTTGAGAGATCTTCTTAAACAACAAAAGCTAACAAAGACAGTGTTGTGTTAGGTTATAATCCCAGCAGGGCCTCCAGAATGTTAGCTCAGGCCCACTGGAGGTTTGGGTGTCTGTTGTATGATCCAATGCTGCATGAAAGATGAAAAGAATCGCACAAAGTTAGATTGGGAAATATAGTTTATTTAAAAACCAAATTAGAAGGCCAGATGCAGTGGCTTGCACCTATAATCCCAGCAATTTGAGAGGCTGAGGTGAGAGGATTGCCTGAGCCCAGGGGTTCGAGACCAGCCTGGGCAGCTTGGCAAGACCTCATCTCTACAATAAATCAAGAAAACTCAGCCAGGCATGGCACATGGCTGTAGTTCCAGCTACTTGGAAGAGTGAGGCAGAAGGATTGCCTGAGCCCAGCAGGTCGAGGCTGCAGTGGCTGTGAGCATGCCACTGTCCTCCAGCCTGGGTGACAGAGTAAGACTGTGACTCAAAAACAAAAATTAGGAAGAGAGAGAGCAAGAAAGAGGAGATTTCACCTCCCCAAAGTAGGGGAGGGGGCCAAAGTCAGGAAACATGGCCTGGCCATAGCTCAAACAGCACATGGCCACACCCTAGCTTAGCAAGGCAATGGTGACTGGTTGCTCATAGTTGAATCATTTTAATCTTCCCTTTAATTGGGGAAGGTTGTTAAGGTGATTGGTTGGTGGTCTGCTCCACGTCATCACGAAGGGGCAGGTAAGCACAGGTACTGACTTCAGGTAATGGACAGCAGGCAGATGGGTAGCTCAGTGACATGATTGCTGCCACGGTGGTGAACTAGATGGGAGGAGACAAGGGGAGGGGTTTTTCCTGCAAGAGACTTGTCAGACATTTCTGATCCACAAGTTCCTTAGCAAAAAGATGGTCTTATTATACTTCTATGGCTTTGGCCAGCTAAGGGGTGATCTTTGACCTTCTGCCCTCAACAAGGAACCTGAAGGTTTCTTAGAGATTATTATGCTAAACCATGAATTGAAAGGTTAGGGTGTCCTTATCTTGCATCTGATGGAGGTCTCCTGAGGAGGTGGGGTAGGCTGCCACCTTGGCCTGCAGTAAAATGTCTGAACGCTTCCTAAAACCTGCCTATTGGAAATGTATCTATTAATGTCTAACCTGTGCTAAATTCAAAGCATGTCAATCTAAGCAAAAATGGCTATGCTGAGGCAAAATGTGAACTAAGTTTATTCTAAGTTTCTTGGGGTCCATCCTTTCATTTCCCACGTTTTGCTAGTTCAAAATATTCGTACTTGTAACTAGGGATTAGGGACTTCTGTATCTACTTCCTGCTGCGTGAGGGTTGTAAAGTTGTCCCTGCCTGTCTAGAGCAAGAGGAGGGAATGAAAGGACAGGAGCCCATGGAGTTGTTAAGTATCTTTTGGATCTGGATCTGTATACAAAATGCTATGTACAAGCATATACTATTAGAATTAATACTACTATAATAAAGGCCATTATAGCTGCTGTTATGATATCTTAAGGCTTTGATGTCTGGTAAAATGTATTTATAGTTACCCCAGTGGGCTCAACACCCACTACAGGCATTCAAGCAGTTTCCACTGTTGCACCAGTGAGTTCCTTAGTCCATATGTGGATGTCTCTACAGCTTGTCTTCAAGTTTCTTCACAATGATTGATATGTGAAGCCCAGGTAACCTCTACCTTGGAGAGATGGGAGATTAACATCTCTCTGCTATCTATGAGAGAAGTGGAATAGTACTGGTCTTCTGACAGGAAAATAGTACCTTAAAGTTTAACAAAAATAATTAGTAATACTTTAAACAAAAAGTTATTTTGTTAGCCATCCTATGTTGGATTAATAATTCTTGTACCTGGTCTGCAAGCAATTTAGAAGGATGGTGTGGGGGTAGGTGTGGTTCTTGAGACTTTTGTTGTCTTACCCCACCCTAGAGACTGAATTGAGAACTTGAAGAGTTTAAGTATTAAAAATTTAAAAGCATAATGTTATAACACAAGATTACAGGCCATTGTAAGTTACTTATTTTTGCAAGGGATAGTCTAAAGATTTTGAAAAGTTAAAAAAAAACTCCACTTTTTGTAACAAAGACAGCATAGGTGGGTAACTTAATTTTGTCTCTTCCTCCCCCTCCCCCACCCCCATTGTTTATAGGAGAAAATTCTTTTGGCAATTATTAATTAAGAAGCTCGTGTTTGACTTCTGGCAAGATGGCGATGGGGCAACCCAGTCTGTGAAAACCTCTGCAAAGGAGAACTGCAGTGGGTCTCTGACTCTCGCCCTGGGGGCTATGGACCCCAACATAGCAGCCTGCTCTTCGTACAGAGCTCGGCCGTTGCCACCTCTGGGGCATCACGGCGGTCTGGACAGCCACTGCAGCGCAGACGCCACCACCGCAGCTGCCGCAGCCACCGCCACCACCGCCAGTAGCACATCGCACCACCTGGGCCGGAGGCGACCCACAACTTCAGTCCTTGAAGCCCCTTCAGGGAAGATCTGCTGGGATCGCTGCCACCTCTCCTGTGACCAAGTCCTGCCCACCGTAAGTCTCCTGCTGTCTGCCCTGAGGCAAGCAACCATCTTGCCATCTTCAGCCTCTGCTGTCCCTTTCTGGCCCCACGGCCTCTGGGGCGAGCAGCTGAGATAGCACCACCTGCTGGCGATTCAAGGTAACAACACCAAAACGGGAGAAACAAGCCTGATAAAGACATAGGCCAGAGTGGTGAACAGAGGGTGATCTGAACTGTCCTTCACAGCAGACCAGGGGCAACAGACCCTAACTGCAAACTAATTTACCAGCTTGAAAAGAAAGCTAGAAATCAGACCTGAAGGGACATTGAACTTAAACGAAATGTCTCAGAGTGTGCTTCATTGATTCTGTTAGTTTAATGACTTAATTCTATTCCTACTGTATTGTTCCTTTTTTTCTTTTTTCCTCTTCCTTTTCTTCTCTTTTCTTCTCTCTGTAAACCATAACTTTGTATAGAGGACAGCACACTAATAACGTGGTTGGATAGCTGGTATGTTAGCATCATTATATGTTTTATTTT